AAATCCATCACAAACTGTGCCATCACAAGTTAAAAATCAAACACATTTGTAAGAATACGGCAATAACTTGTATTTTATATTTCAAAAGGTTTAGTTTTGATTGTGATCAATGTCATCAAGTTGTCAAATTTGTTTTAGACTTCTGCTTTGTAGAATAAAAATTACGTGTTTTACAAGATTTTTGATCAGATTTATCCTTGGGTGATTTCAATAAGTCTGTCATGAATTGTGTATTTGCAGATTATATTCAAGCAAATTAGGTTGAAATATTTTTTTTAAAGTTTTATGTATCGAGTTTATGACAGGTGGGAGTTGCTAATATTTACCACCTTTTTTCTCCTGTTGAATTTAATCTTTTTATATCCTTACATTTTTTTCTCGAAGATTTGATTAGTTTGCATGAAATGCAATGGATTTGTAAGTATACTTGATTGCAGCTGTCTTGGCTAATAAGGACAAGAAAAGAATTGAATTTTACTATTATGACAGTCAAGAATTGTGCCTCCTAGAGTGTTTACGAGCTAAAAATTGAACGCGTTTTCAAGAACAAGGGCAATAATTCATACTACATATTTTTCGATTTCCCTGATTTTTCTATAGGGTTTATCCTTGGGTGAATACGAACACTCATACCAAGTTACGTCAAAATCTGTCAAGAATTGTGCCTTCTAGAGTGTTTACGAGCTAAAAATTGAACGCGTTTTCAAGAACAAGGGCAATAATTCATACTTAATATTTTTCGATTTTGCTGATTTTCAATAAGGTTTATCCTTGGGTGATTACGAACACTCATAACAAGTTCCATTAAAATCCTTCAAGAATTGTGCCTTCTAGAGTGTTTACGAGCTAAAAATTGAACACGTTTTCAATGACAAGGACAATAATTCATACTAAATATTTTTCGATTTCGCTGATTTTCAATAGGGTTTATCCTTGGGTGATTACGAACACTCATACCAAGTTTCGTTAAAATCCTTCAAGAATTATGCCTTCTAGAGTGTTTACGAGCTAAAAATTGAACGCGTTTTCAAGAACAAGGGCAATAATTCATACTAAATATTTTTCGATTTCGCTGATTTTCAATAGGGTTTATCCTTGGGTGATTACGAACACTCATACCAAGTTTCGTTAAAATCCTTCAAGAATTATGCCTTCTAGAGTGTTTACGAGCTAAAAATTAACAAGGGCAATAATTCATGCTAAATATTTTTCGATTTTGCTGATTTTCAATAGGGTTTTATCCTTGGGTGATTGCGAACACACACATACTAAGTTTCGTTAAAATCCGTCAAGAATTGTGCCCTGTAGAGTGTTTACGAGCAATTGTGGACGGACGGACGGACATTGGTGACGACAATATACGCCCCCCATTTCATGTGGGCGTATAAAAATCAACCTACTTTAAGTCTCAAATTTCATTCTTAATGGATTAGATCAAAAAACTCGAAGGGTTAAAAAAAAACTTAATATTTGTTGAATCGTACCCGAATTGAAACTTGTTTAAAATCCTGTGGATATAAACCAACACAACAAATTTTATGAAAGTCTGACAAAAAAACGATTGCCTTTTTTGTGTTCACAAGCCACTTATAATGTATTTTCTGTGTAGCAAGAGTAGAATCCTCGCCAATAATTTGTCATCAGATACAATTTGCCAATTGTGGACAGACAGGTGCGACAATACAAGAGGAACAAAACAGGAGTTTCTGACTATTTCTGACTTTTCACGGACCCTTTCAAAAGGCTATCTGTGACAAGGTAAGAAGTCAGCAAGTCAACTTACCTGTGTATCTGAATATTATCTGTCGTACATATGAGGGAATATTTTTCCCAAGAATGATGAGATTGGTCTGGAATTTCAAATCTATTGGCCATGTTAGTAATTATTTCTGGCTCAACAAATCCACTTGCTCTCTGTGAATTTCTCTGAAGTGCCAGGCTTACTGAACAAGCTACATACACTTCACAAAATCCCACGGAACCTTCAAAAAAATAAAACAATATCGTGGAAGTTTTCGAAACCAAGAAAATGGTGGAAAAAATTTAAACAACGTTTGAAATAAACTTGCATGGTCGATAACTTGTAAATAGTAGCCTTTGGAATGGATGTGAGAGTTCTACATTGAAAAGTCTCTAATCATTACAAAAATAAATTGGAATCATCTTAAAGGTAAAAAATTGAGTATCATCACAACCTTTAGCACTTCTCTGCCAGGTCTAACAGGTTAATTTAACTAAAACTTTGCACTGATATAACAGAAAAGATTCTCTGACTTTCCTTCATAGGAGGAGGATGTGCTCACAACTCACAATTCAATTTCAAATGTCTGTGGTGGTATCATAGAGCATCTTAGATGATAAGAAAATTTTAGAAATAATGAATTGATTTTGTGCATTTTGACACATATTTTGGAGAAAAAAGGTAGACATTTAGATTTGTTGAAAATAAAATTAGGGTACAATTGGGGTTCAAACCACTTTGCTAGGGTTGCAAATACCCCCTCCCCCACCCTGTACCCCCACTGTATATGAGGTTAGGTTTGATTCTGCAGCATCTATAGAGCAAAGTCTAATAACAGTCACATGTTAACACATTATCAGGTCACTAAAATAGGACACAGGCCAATCAGATAATCATGACATAACTTACTATTTCTAGCTAGCTGATAATAGTCATATCTCATACTTCTAAAATACATATTATCATCAATAATAATAACAATCTTCATATTGCCCTCTTTTAATTCATCCCTCTTTTCTTCTTTCACTTCAAGCAAGTGTTCATTAATCAATTTGGAAAAATGTGCCATCAATGTCCTATGAAAATCACTATTGAAGTCACTATATTTATAACTTTCATTAGCATCTTTCAACATGTTCCTTGACACCCATTTTTTGATGGATTGAATGCTACCCAAATTGGGTTCACGATTAATGTCAGTAATAAAGTTTTGAACTAGGTCTACTATTGCTTCTCTGTATATTTTCCATTTTGATTTTTCTTCACACTGAAATCATGAAGATATAAATAACAAAACAAAGCGGCTCACATATTAATGCAACTTAAAAATGAAGTACCTCTTTTCATAGCTGATGATTTACTTTGATATGTTGAGAAAGTTCCAAAGTGTATGATAAATGGTCTTGGTCTGAGATTTTTGTTGCCGAATAGAAACTTGTCAAGAGTTTCGCCAACGGGCACGGGCATATGACGGTCTCTCTTGCAGACAATAAAACTATCAGAGACAATTATCAAATCTGTTTGATATTATAAATCCTGTCGGGGATTTAATCTTGTCATAGAAGCACTCAAGATTTTACTGAAGACTGTAATCAGCAACAAAAATCTACGACCAAGATCTCGTGTGCCCGCTCCTTTACTAAACCTATATTTTGTACAGAATAGATCTGAACTTTTTATAAAAATGAATATTAACAGGAATTAAGATTTTATCTGGTGATAATAGCAATATTTGACATTTCTAAAACAATTTCCCCTTCCATTCTTTCATATGTATATAACCAACTTAACTAGCACAAGCTCATTCTAATTAATTATACTAACCTTTTGATTGATCAATTCAGATTCAATTGAAGGAGGCATCAGTTTGTCATAGCTAATGACTAAAGTTATTGTTTCATCTAATTCCACCAACCATTTCTTGATTTCCAAACTTAAACTAGTCTTGCCTGACCCAGGCAAACCACATAAAACTACAAAGCATACTTCTTTGTGTAATGACATGTTGAGGTGGTGCTGCTCTGTGGCTACACATACTGAAAGGAAAAATTTATCTTATCTTATGCTTTCAAAAAGGTTGAAAATGAAGGAAATGGAATCAAACAGGTTAGAAAATGAAAAATTAAAATTGAAGATTTACAGTGATACTACGTCTTAGAATGAACATAAAATTTAAGAATTTTAAACTTGGCCAATAAGAGCACATTATTCATCAGTAGATATACCTGGTGTCATAAATAACATAACAGGATCCTTATATAATCCGATAAATCCAAAAAACTTAGTAATTATCCATAAAAATGCAATTAACTATTGAAAATATCAAGATTAAGCGTTTTTCAATAATTACTTAGTTTTATCAATTTTCCAATTTTCCAGATTTTCCATGGATTCTGTTGTAACTTTATGACACCAGGTTAGTTCACTGATGAATATATACTCATATTGACCATTCTTGAGAGCTTAAATTTCATGTTCATTCTAAGACGTAGTATCACTTTATCAAGTAACTAGTGTGACATGTTGATTGGAAGGTTCTACTGTGAACTTCTTCAAAATAAGAATGGTAGTCATTGAATGACTGTGGCAATCAAATCTACATTGAATTTTGAAATTTTTTTTCTCTCATTTCATAAATATTCAAATATTCAACTGTATGCTATTTGTCTAAGAATGTCTTCAGGTCCATAGAAATATAAGTTTCAGTGATTATACATTTACATTTAACTTTTCTAGTGTTAACATTTTCATCAAGCCAAAGACAATCAGAGATTCTCAGTAGTATTTTGTAATTGATATTTTAATTCATGAAAATTATTGCGAAAATATAAAAAAAAAACAGTGTTGTCAAAGAGTAGACGAGTTTCGTGATAGTGCTGAACACCTTAGGCTTGTTGTTGTTTGCCTTGAAATGACTCTTTCAACAAAAAATACTTCAAAGGGACAGGTAAGTCATTTTTTTCCACCAATCATACTTCATAGTCTCAGAGACTGGAATTTTTTTTAGGTAAGCCAATCAGTCGAATCAAAATTTGAGCGTTGAAATCTATGTGTGTCCAGAATTTTCCACAGTTGAATGTTAAAATGATTGTGATATAAAGAAAAGACATATATAGGAAAAGTGAGTAAAATCCCTAGTTTGAAGTATATTTGAAGGGATTATGTGATTTTCGTACAATTCTTGTACTTTGAAGAATATCAACATTACATACATTCAAGATTAAAATCAACCCCCCAAAATGGCGCAACTGTCCCTTTAAGTCAAATGAATGCAGACTGTTCAAATAACCATAGTTAGTCTACACAGACATCTCAACTCTCCTTGTGATAAATGAATGTAGCAAAAGTATAATTTGATCTGTCAATTTTGTGTGATAAAAGTGAAACTAGGGAATAATTGAACTGATTGGTTGCTATTTTTATCTTCAAAGCCCAAGGGAAATAACTTCGATTTTTAGAGTCAATTTCGGGATTTTTTAATAACATCCGTTCAATTCAACTTGGGAATTGTGGTTTTTCTTACAGACAATAATTTCAAATACAATATCATCTAAGGTTTTTGTCAGTTTAATGATTTTTTCACCATAAGCAATTTGTTATAAATAGAACAAACGTGGTCCAAAAGGAAGCAGCCATGTCTGAAATATAATGCACAAGAATGAAAGTTATCTTTAGTTACAGGACCTCTGATTGGCTGACCGACTAATCCAAAATTGGATTTTTTTCTTATCTGTTCTCTTCATGGCAATTTTTTGCTTATACATAAGTTAATAAAAATTCTTCAAACAACAACTAATTAGTAAAGCTTGATTATTTCAAAGGATAAACCTAATTTAGGTAGATTTTTAGTGATTTCAGTCAAAAACGTCACAAATGTGCGACCAATGAAAACGTCGGGCACATACACCTCTAATCGTGACAAATTTTGTGACGTCAGAAAATATTCACATGGCGTTGTAAAAAGAGAAGAATTGAGACATTGCACAACCTAGAGAAAAAGATTTCTACCAAATTTTGTTTATTTTCAACAAAACCACATGTGACTTTTTAGAAATAAGACGTCTATCCATCGATTGTAGGATAGCTTGTGTGTATAAGTGTTTGTGTAAAGTCGGTTTTATCAAAATTATTTAGGCCATACGGTGATCTGAAAGAGGAAATCGTTCCGTGAAGAAGGTAGCCTACCAAAAGAGACGAAAGTTTGACAAAAGTCAATTAATTTAACCAGAAGTCGCCAAAAAAGACTATCAAAATGGCGTCAAATGGAACCGAAGGTGAAACCAGTGCCGACAGAAATGTCGAAATGTGGAAGATAAAGAAACTCATAAAGAGTTTAGAAGCAGCTAGAGGGTGAGAATGAGACTAGGCCTATCTGACAAGGTTTTTTTTATTGAAAATCTAAGCCTCTCAATACATGTATAAGTTCTTTGAATTTTCAATTTTTTCTGTCTGCAGCAGAAATAAGTGTAGTGAAAGACACTTTGACCTTAGTCACAGGAATTGAAGAAATGATTTTGTAAGCTTGCGAATGGACAGAGAAAAACAGTCTATTTTTGCGTTCTTTTGGAATTATTGTTAG